CAAACCCATTAAGGGCCCACAGTAAGCTAGTTGATGTGGGCCCAGTGAGGAGTGACCCACAATGGGCCTGTGTCAGGTTATCTGTGGGCTAACCCAGTGGTGCACTGCCCAAACAGAACCCCTTTAAGGCTCACTATGTGTTCAGTGATGTGGGCCCACTTTGGTTTGACTCACAGTGGGCCAGTACAGGGTCATCTGTTGGCCAGTCCTAACCCACACAGCCCACAGATTGCCCTCAGTGGGCCCACGGGGGCATGTTTACAGGGTAGCTCCCCTGTAGTGTAACTAACCTGTGTTAGGTATTCCTGCTGTTGTTCTGCTGTGAATGTATTTCTACCGAGTGTGAGTCAGTGACACAGAGTGACTGTGTTCATTTGGTTGGGTTCTCACCATTAATCCTTCGCTGATGTTGGTCAGCCTTTTGGTTTCTTTCTTAGCATGTCATGCTGCAAAGTTGTGAAATGTAAACATACAGGTGTAACATTTATTTTAAATGCATTGTTATGAATAATTAGCTAAGCTGTACTGCTGTTAGTGTAAGTTACTGCTCAGACACCATTGTCAGTCCTTGTCCATGGGGGGGTGCTGTTAGACCATTTGGGAAGACATGGACAATATAAGTGCAGCTATTCATAGTGCTTTATTCCTCAAAAATGCCCTGAAATAACCACTGCATATATGTTGTTCTGTACAAATAGCCAAGTCCATGTTAGTCATGTTCATGTGCTGAGTGGATGTGCTTTGTCTTTCTATGTACATCTTGCATCTGAGGTTGATTCCTATTGTGGTCTAGAAACTGGAATATGCTGTGCCAGACTGATTTCCATTATTCAATACTGTATATACATATATTTCATGTTATCATGTCAGACAGCACTCGGAGTAAAGCATACCACACCAGAACAGCAATGTCTTTATTACGCATAAGTTTTTATAAAGTTCAGAATGATTTATTAATATTATTATTTTTAACAGTTGCAATCCTGAAACCGGAAGTGCTGCGGCGCCCTCAGCACCCCCACTCCCTGCGTCCCCGTATCTAACCATAAATAACCTTCCAGAGCAATGCTAAGATCAGTTAGCTCGCTAGTTCTCTTTTCTTAGCTTAGCTGGTGATAAACCAGTCCAATTAAACTGGACTATACAGAGCGCACATTATGGATTAACACATTCTAGATAAAGACAATATTAATGTAGTTCTTTTTGTTGTTTTATTAAAGTTTCCTAAAAGATCTCAGGTAAAAGACGACAAGTCCTCCTCAGCACCTGTTAGCGCCACTGTTAGCTTTAGCATGGAGTGCCTACGGAAGTTCGGAGAGGCCATGAGGTGGCTATAATTTTCTGGTTTGTTATCTTGAGATCATGACTTAATTATCTTGTGATCTTCAGATAACAAAAGTTGTTATTTTGAGATCACAAAATAAGTTGTGATCTCAAGACAACAAGTGTCTTGTGAACTCAAGATAAAAGATAATAACAAAAGTTGTTATCTTGAGATCACAACATAATTAAATTGTGATCTCAAGATAACAATCCAGAAAATTATAACTGATGAATCAGTCTGATTGTTGTTTTAAGAGCACAACTTAATTGTGTTGTGATCTCAAGAAAATGAAAGTTGTTAGCTTGAGATCACAAAATAAGTCATGATCTCAAGATAATTTAACTGTCTTCTTGAGATCACAACTTAATTTTTCTGTGAAATTTTAACTGACAAATCATCTTGAGATCGTGATTTAATTATGTTGTGATCTTGAGGAAACAAGTTGTTATCTCGAGATCACGACTTAATTTTCTTGTGATTTTGAGATAACAAAAGTTGTTATCTCTAAATCACCACAAAATTAAGTCATGATCCCAAGATAACAATCCAGAACATTATAGCCACCTCGTGGACTTCTGTAAGTGACTGACCCATTTCTCCACTCTGATTAGTCAAATTCCACTCAGATTTGAGTCCAGAAGTCTGACCACCCTGGAAAACTAATACTGTTTTCATTTGAACCTGGAAATGAACAACAGAACATTTAACCTTAGACTTAGTCTGTAGTGATGGGGTCGCAGACGATCCGGCTCTAAGAACCGGCTCTTAGAAGTGAACGACGGGAGCCGGCTCCTGATTGGGAGCCGTTTTTTTTTTTTTCTGTTAAAGCATGATTGGTCAAGATGTGTGGTGTCTGTGAGTCTTCACTGAGCGGGAGGGGGAAGGGGAGGGGTTACAAACACACAGGACAGTGTGCACTCGAACAGGAGGGAGGGGAGTCTCCTGCAAAGTTCTTTCAGGAGACAAGAGTCAGCAGACGACATGCTGGAAAGGTGAGGAAAATGAGTGACAGGAAACGTAGTGAAGTTTGGGCACATTTTAATGTGATAGACACTTCAATGGCAGAGTGTAGACTGTGCAAAGCTGAGTGATGTTTTGTTGATGTTGTGTTGTTTCACTGTGCAAATTTACAAATAATATACACAGTCAGAGATTGGACCTTTTTGTCTAATTTAGATGGGTCTTTGATTGTTGTATTTTATAATAAATTTTTGTAGCCCTCTGTTCCATGTTGAGTATATAAATAAAGCCATATAAATAATAAATATTTGATATAATTTATGTTTTTACATTAGTAATTCATTTTACACATAATTTGGTAATAAATTAATTTAAGCAACAAAAAATCTGAGGAGCCACTTGGGAGCCGAAAGAGCCAGATCTTTTTAGTGAGCCGAGCCAAAAGAACCGACTCTCTAAAAAGAGCAGGAATTCCCATCACTGTTAGTCTGATCTCTTCCAGCGAAGCTCGTGTTCAGACGACTCTTGGGTGGCTCTGATCTGCTGACAAACTTAGCTTCAGTGCTCACTGTCGTCAAAGCAAAATGGGGACACACCACCAAATGCTAAGAAATTTTAAAATTGATCTAAATATTTCACAGATTCTGCTCTTCACTCAGATTTTTATGCTGACAATGTAATTTTTTAAATAATAAATTTGCATTAAATTAAAGCATTTTCACCAGCACACAAAGACTTTTGGACCCCACACACTTAACAGAGATGGTTCTTTAGTAAAGACAGTGGTTCTATTTAGAACCATGAGTCCTATATAGAACAATTTGCATACTTAAATGGTTCTATGCATGGTGAAATTGTTCTTCAGATTGATGGATAATGTGTTGTGTATAGTTCTGTGTAGAACCTTTTTGAGAATGGTTTAAAAAAGGGTTCGGCTATTGTTACAAGCTGGACATCGTAACAGTAGCGGAGCCCTTTTTGGTGCTACACAGAACCACATAAAACACATTCTCCTTCAATCTGAACCATTTGATCAGGCAAAGAACTGTTTAAGCATGCAAATGGTTCTTTGTGTGTTCATGGCTGTGTATAGAACCATTGGCTTTACTAAAGAACCCTTGAAGAGTGTATGTTCGCACTAAACGTCTTGTAAACCAGTTTATTTTTGAGTAATAAGATGTTCCAGATGTTCTCCTCTGTGAGCTTCTTAATGTTCCTTTATAAGTAAAAGAGGTTTGAGTTTTTAGAATTTTGCAAATGGTCAAAAAAACACTTTGATCAACTTTATTGATGACATAAATGCTTAACAGTGTCATACAAGTGTTCATAAATGCTTAAACGTGTTGCTCATAATAATGGGCCTTTGTGTGACATCTGTCCTATGAACACTCCTCCTTAGTAGCCCATTGGTCACACAAATGGAGCAGTCCTAACGAGGCTGTGTGGTGATGTCACCAGAAAGGCCCCGTCTCTTGACATTGTGGCGCGAACCTTGTGAGGGAACTGTAGAGAGAAAATGGAGCCCGTTGGGTTGTGTTTGTTGCTATGGTAGCCGATACACCAACCAGCTTATGTAGTACGATAAACTACATACATACAAATACCTCTGATTAAAATACGATATATGGACGATAAACGATTTACGGGCGAATGCTTTCATTAATCAATCATTTACACTTTACACGGTAACGAAGATGAAGTGCATTATTCCAAAATATGATAAACATCAAGGACACTTTCTGTTTTTATTGACAGAACATAAAACTCATACATGCAATAATTATGAACGATCATATTACAGGCAAACTTCTTGGTTTAAGGAACTTCATTTAGCAAGAAATGCTAACTTTCCTGAAAAAGAATCTGCCGGTTGCTGTTTACCGCTGTGGATAAATATAAAACTTATAACATCTAAACTGAATTTATGAAAAATAAATTTTAACTTCCTATAGATTATGTTTCTATTATGTGTTGTATATGAATACTGAATTAAGTGCCCACTTTGAAAACCACTTCAGAAGCTTGACCTCACCATCTGTGTGTGACAAAAGAAGTATAGGCTGCATCGTATCACAAATATAGCTTCACTTTAGTAGTTGGGGAAGGAAAAAGAAAGTCCCAATCCCATTTCTTATTGGTACCCCTAGCCCTTGTTTGGGGACTGAGTTACAAGGGGTAGTGGTTGAAATCTTCCCTCTGAAATGGGACCCTCAAATAAAAAGAGCATCACTTCATTAACAGCTACTAGCGCTGCTCTGCAGGCGACCCTGCCAGTCTGCAGTGACAGCAGAGGAGGGTAAAGTTCAGCTCCTCACTGCTGGGCTTTAGTTACATTTAGGGCATCATATGCCTTCAAAGAGGGGGGCAATTATTTATTATCACCCACCCCTAATTCTTCAGTGATATGAAGCTGAAGTCAGATATTCACCAGATTCTCGTTCGAATGTTCCCGTTCCACCTTAAATGGAGCAGCAGTTACATTCTGGTGCTTCAGGCATCAAAACTACTGGACTGTTTAAGGTGGAGCGGGAAAATTAGCTAGCTAGCTACCAAAACATTAGCATACTATTATTTTTAATGCTTCTTATGAAGAAAAGGAACATAATACACTGAAACAACATTAAACTAAGATAATACAGTGATTATTGTCATTTTTAACAGAGAAATACTCCTTTTTGTGGGTTTCTTTGGTCTCTTGTTCAGCCATCTTGCCGTCTTTTTTTTCTCATAACTCTCTGTTTGGAGCCTGAAAAACCTCCGTTTGGAGGGTCATGTAGCCCCAACAGTTTGCCCTACCCCTCTATCTCAACAAAAATCGGGACACCCTACCACCTAGGTGTGAATACTCAAAACGGAGGGCCAAGGGCTAAGTTGTCTTATAGCAACATTGTTCAATAAAGGGTTAAACACTCTTTTGATGACATTTGGTGCGCTACATCATTTGTTAATTTGTGCTATGTCACTCTGGGCTCAAGCCAGTCAGTCAACCAGGAAACATCAGGGTAACCAGATAGATTAGATTAGCCATCTGAATTATGTGCTAATTCAAAACCAATAAGGGGTTAACCCTTAGAAGCTGCAGTTACATTTGATATGCATTAATTCTCACTCATAGCTTATTGAAACATAGAGAAATTCCATCAAATGTGACTAACTGCTATGTAATATTTATGGAAATTAATTATGTAATTAGCAATTGCATCTAAGTACTATCCCAAAAGAACTCTAGACTAGGGTAACCTGCATCCAGAGCCATTGTTTAAATTGTTATTATATAGACCTTCTGGAAAGTGTTTCTCCAGAATATCCTGTCTTCTGTTTAGATCTTCAGGCTTCCGAAGGCCTTGGTCACGATTCCGTTGCTTGTATCCATACATCTTTTGGCTGCCCATCCTCTTCCACTCTTACCTTAACTGGTTTGAGCATAATTGTCTTTTCCGATTAACTAGTTTGTTCGTAATATTTACAAAACCTGATTTGGTCAAAGATCCATTTGTTTGTTTGTTTGTTTGCCACTCAAGGAACTCTTAAAAGTCTTCACCTAAACACCAAAGTTCAAAAGGCATCTTATGTGAATTCCTCCAGTCCCGATGAAGTTGACGCAGCAGTTGCAGTCCTCACCACTAGGGTCCGCCGTTTTGAGGCAGGCTCTCGATGACACCGGAGTCTTTGACGTCGCTGAGTTTGCGTGAGAAGGAGCTGAGACGTGTGCTGATGGAGTCCCGCTTTTGCGAGAGCCTGGGTGCCTTTTCCTCATAGAGCCGACAAAGCTGCTCTCGGAAGTGGTTCCCTACGAAGCAGTAGAGGAAGGGGTTGATGGCCGAGTTGGAGAACCCCAGGCACAGTGAGATGGGCAGCAGTGCCTCCACTGCCTGGTTCGTTCTGCAGCTCAGGGTCACGCCCAGGTCCTTCAGCACCTCCAGGAAGGCCAACACATGGAAGGTGCACCAACACAGGAAGAAAGCCAAGACCACGGCAATGACCATGCGCAAAACACGGTCTATCCGGGATGGTTCCTGCTCCAAGAGGTCGGGCGTGGCCAGCAGGTGGCGACCGATGCGGCTGTAGCAGGTGGCCATCACGGCAAATGGCAGCAGGAAGCCCAGTGTGTTCTTAGCTAGGGTTAGCATTGGGTGCCAGAGTGCATTGGGGTAGATCATGACGCAAGCTGTCACGTTCAGGTTGCTTAGCATGTGCGTATCTCGGAAAACTAGCGTCGGCACGGTGCTCAGGACGGCCACCAGCCAGATGGCAATGCTAATGCACCGGGCATGGCACACGCTCCGGGTGCTCAGCGGGTACACGATGGCGCGGTATCGGTCCACGCTCATGCAGGTGATGAAAAAGACGCTGGCGTAGATGTTGATCGTTAACAAGGCACCGCAAAGCTTGCATGCTACCCTCCCAAAAACCCAGCTGTACCCCATGGAGTAGTACACGGCCCAGAAGGGCAGGCTGCAGAGGAACAGCAAGTCTGACGCTGCCAGATTTACCAGGTATGTGTTGGCCACAGTCCGGCGTGATGAACTCTGGCAGAACACACAGATGACTAGCGCGTTACCAAGGAAACCCAGAAGGAATATGAAGGTGTAAAAGACGGGTACGAGTCTTTTCTGGTACTGGGAACTGGTGGGCAAGAGATGGTCACATGATCCGTTTTGGAAGTGATGCAGGGACAAAGCATCATCAAGGGCAGTCAGGTTGAGGGAGGGGTCCATTTCCATGGTGACCTGTCAGTCATGCAGGGGAGGGGACTTCACTTTGGAATCAGAATGCAAAGGTTCTGCAATGGAAAAGAAAACAGGGATTTAAGGTTCAGTGTCATGTACAAAAAGTTTGTCCCCACAAAAAGTTTCAAATTAGTTGGAATTCATTGTTTTTGTGATGTTAGAAGCTCCAACCAGCAACCAGGTACGTATGTCTGCCTATACAGGCAGCAGCAGTTTAGCCCCACCCATTCACACTGAAGTTATAAGGAGTGTTTTATCTTGGACTGCTTATTAAATTGAACAGGACAGCCAATCAGAACAGATACACATATTGTCACTGGGTGCATTTACATGCACTCAATTATCCAATCATAATTGGATTTCCACAGATATCTAATTATTTAAATGGTCATGTAAATAGCACACTCTGATTTCTCAGATCAGAGTAAGATCTAGAAATCTAAGAAATCCAGGCTGGATTTTAGCTCAGTAATCAGATTTCTCAGTGCATGTGAACTCTTACTCTGATTTCTTTCAGATTTCTCAGTCTGCGCATGTGCGAAAACAGAAGGTGGTTCCAGAATAAGCGAGCAGCGTTGCCACGAGACGCAGCGAAACACTTTTGGAGCGACGCTGAAACCAAATACACGCTTGATGAATGAAGCATTTAAATATTCTTCATGTTTTAGATGATGTCTGTTCATATTTTCAGGTAAAGTGGTGCAATGTTTTTAAAAGAAAAACTGCCGCATGAACTTTGAGTTTTACGTTACGTTTACGTCACGTCTTCTGTGAGTTTATTGGCTGGTTGCAAAGCAGAAATCTGATTACTGTCTGACTCATGTAGACCTGGAGTTTCCCCATTATCTGATTACTCAAGTGCATGTAAATGTGTTGATCAGATTACTTACAAAATCTGATTTTCTGTAGTTATCGGATTATTAAGTGCATGTAAACGCACTCACTGTCGGAATAAAACCTCCTATCACCAAAATGGCAATTTGACAGATTAACTTACCATTTATCATGAACGTCGTAAATGTAAAGAGCAACTGAAAAAAAAAAAAGAGAAATGCCAAAAATGGAGGTACAATGTTTTGTTCTGATGATAAACATTTACATATATCAGTCTTAAAAGCACAGTAACAAAAACAGCCTGTTTAATTATAGCAGATAAATAGAGGTCTGAAAAAGGTCAATGTAAAATTGCCCAAACATCATAAGTGGACCTCCAAGAACAAGTCATAAAAATACAAGAAAAATGTAGGATATGGACCAATTCTGAAATGTTTGTGATGAAATGTTTTTATAGTACAGTCATTTATCATCTGCTATAATCCCCCACATTCATCATTAAAGCTTCTCTAAACTTAGTTTCTGAAGAAAACAGCAACAACAAGCACTTGCGAAAGCTCTCGGCGAGAGGGGCGACGGAGAGAGAGTCGAAAATCACTGCCAGAATCTCTGAGCTCGCCAAAAAAAGAAAAATAAACCCAGAGGAAAGAAAAAAACACAGATTCCCACTGACGGAGTCTCCAGCGGGTTGAGTCGCGTGTGAAAGAGCTCAGATTCTTTATGGAAAGTGTGCGTGTGTGTGTGCGTGTGTGTGTGTGCGTGTGTGTGTGTGTGTGCGTGTGTGTGTATGTGTGCGTGTGCGCGTGTGTGTGTGCGTGTGTGTGTGCGTGTGTGCGTGTGCGTGTTTACACGAATGCTGGAAGCATCACGTTCTTTAGCTGTAGTGAATTTGTCCCACAGTGTTACATAATAATGAATGAGTGCGGCAGAGGATTACGACGAGACACTGATACAACCAGGAGTGATGCGCTCTCTCTCTCTCTCTCTCTCTCTCTCTCTCTCTCTCTCTTTCCTTTTTCTTCTCTCTTTCTCTCACTTTTCTCTCTCTCTCTTTTTCTCTTGTTTTTCTCTCTGTCTCTCTCTTTCTTCACTGTATTTTCTCTCTCTCCCTTTACTTCTGTCTTTCTTCTTCTTCTTCTTCTTCTTCTTCTTCTTCTCTCTCCCTCCTGTTCTTTGATCTCACTTTTTTCTCTCCTACATTCTCGTTCATGCTATATATTGATCTGTATACCAAAGTTACCATTACTGTTACTGCAGAGTGTTTGCAAAATGTTGTGCTTGTGTGTGTGTGTGTGTGTGTGTGTGTGTTTGTCTGGAGTATGTTTGAGTTTTAAATCTAAGTGTGAATGTGGGTTTTGTCTGTGTGGGTATGTGTGTGAAAGTCTGTGTACATGTGTTTTGTGAGTGTGTGTGTGTGTGTGTGTGTGTGTGTGTGTGTGTGTGCGTGTGTGTGTTTGTGTGTGCGTGTGTGTGTGTGTTTGTCTGGAGTATGTTTGAGTGTTTTAAATCTAAGTGTGAATGTGCGTTTTGTCTGTGTGGGTATGTGTGTGAAAGTCTGTGTACATGTGTTTTGTGAGTGTGTGTGTGTGTGTATGTGTTTTGAATCTGAGTGTAAATGCGTTTGTGCATGTGTTTTTTTTTAATCTGAATGTGTGTGTGTACATGTTTTGAATCTGAGTGTGTGTGTGTGTTGTGTTTTGTATGTTATGAATGTAAGTGACTGTGTGTATTTTAAATCTAAGTGTGAATGTGTTTTCTATCTGAATTTGTGTGTATGTGTGTGTAATTTGAATCTAAGTGTAAATGTGAGTTTGTGTGTGTGTGCGTGTGTGTGTGTGTGTGTGTGTGTGTGTGTGTAATGTGGGTAAAGAGCAGATGTGTTTAACGGCTCTCAGTGGGCTCGTCCTGCAGCTGGATTGCGTTAGTTTTGGTGGGGGGCACACAGAGGAATCTCATTGGCTGATAAAAGCTTGAGGGACTTTTCTATGGGGGGCTTTTCCTCTATACAGTGCCTGAGAATCCCTCATCCAAAAAAAACTCCACTACCCCTCCTCTTCTGTTCTGGGGGGCTAGTCTGGGGGGCTCTGCAGGGATGGTTACACAATTTACGAGTCATGAGAGTTTGTGATACTCCTCTATAAAAGCAGGACAAACAGAGCAAAACGTTTTACACATTCTCTTACACAAAAACTCTGAAATCCACAACAGTGTACCAGAAGACAGACAGCAGCTGAACAGCAGCATTTTACCCTTCTTTTAGAACTAATAACTAAGGCTGTGTCTGTCAGTCCTCACTTTCATAACTACAGACTTTACACACCAGTTTCCTTCTACATACTGAATTATTCATAGTGGATTCTGAATAATTCAGAACAGATAACTCAAACATTCACAGGAGATACTGAATCATTCATGGTAGAGACTTGGTAATGGACAGTAGTTACTGAATAACTTAAAAGTAATTAGTGAATAATTCATAGTAGTTACTGAATAATTCATAGTAGATACTATATGATTCATAGTAGTTACTGAATATTCATACTAAATATGTCATAGTAGTCACTGAATAATTTACAATTGATACTGAATAATTTATAGTTGATGCTGAATCATTTACAGTAGATACTGAATAATTAATATAGAAATTGAATAATTCATAGTAGTTACTGAATAATTCATACTAAATAAGTCATAGTAGTTACTGAATAATTCATAATACTGAATAATTTACAGTAGATACCAAATAATTTACTAATAGAAACTGAATAATTCATAGTAGTTACTGAATAATTCATAGGAGATACTGAATAATTCATACTAAATAAGTCATAGTAGTTACTGAATAATTCATAGGTGATACTGAATAATTCATACTAAATAAGTCATAGTAGTTACTGAATAATTTATAGTAGTTACTGAATGATTCATAGTAGATACTGAATAATTCATACTACATAAGTCACAGTAGTTACTGAATATTTCATAGTAGATACTAAATAATTGATACTACATAAGTCATAGTAGTTACTGAATATTTCATAATAGATACTAAATAATTCACAATAGATACTGAATAATTCATAGTGGATACTAAATGATTTACAATAGATACTGAAGAATTCATAGTATATGCTAAATAATTAATAGTAGATACTAAATAGTTTACTGTAGATACTGAATAATTCATAGTAGATGCTGAATAATTCATAGTAGATACTAAATAATTTACAATAGATACTGAACAATTCATAGTAGTTACTGAATGATTCATAATAGAAACAATAATTCATAGTAGTTACTGAATAATATTTTTATAGTCAATAAATAATTTATAGTAGTTATGGAACCATTTATAATAGCAACTGAATGAAGTCTAAGACTATCATTTTTATTATTAGTTGTAGTATTATAAGTTAGTAATCTGTCTGTAAAGCAGAGTAAAGCGAGGGATCTGAGCAGTGCTAATGTATTCACGTCTAGCAGCTCCAATGTCTGATAAGTTTGTTTATATAAGTTTGAGTGGTTGCAAAACCAGACCTTATTATCATATCAGCATTTGTCAAGGAAAATGTTATGCACTGCAAATGAAATGTGCCTTTATTTTTCAGAGCGTCAGTGCAGCGGAGCTCAGTTTGGCACAGCGGAGCTAAATTATGGTGCCAAATGTAACTATTAATCAAGACATCCAGCAAAAAAACGTTCAGGCCTGCTTTAAAACAATCGGCTATTTAGGACTGAACACTGTTCGTCAAATGCCTGAAGACACCCAGCTTTTAAAAGGTTTTAAAAGAAATTAGCATGTTTTCTTTATAAGTCTGCTATGATATACAACATTAAAGCCTAATCATTTCTTTATCATTTTTTACAATATTACACATGTTAATACTACTGACAGTGCATGCTTGGGCATAAAGCCAAAGGCCACGCCCATTTTCTCCCCTTGTTGTGATGTCAGCGCTCGAACCTTTCAGGGGGTTGAAAGTGTTTCAATATGTACTTTTCACAATAGTTTGGAAAGAAAAAAGTTTCATCAGTTTGTTGAACATGAGGCCGAGTGTTGGAGAGAAACAGACCCAAAGCTTTAGCGTTATGATCAACTAAACCTTTGCAGGGATTTTTATTTAATGATTTGAAAATAAACAGAGAAAAATGTCAAATTTTAAAAGAAGGCGAAGTTTTTTAGATGAGCCAACTAACTTTCACTATCGGCTGTTTATCA